CATCGAAAGTAAAGGGGAAAATGCATGCTATTTAAACAGTCTTTTTTCACCGAGTACGATTTCTACAGGAGATTGAAAAGCAGTGTATACAAAAGCTGACATCCTGCCGAGTCCGAAATGTTATAAGATTATACCGCAAGATAATGAATGCTATGTACAAGCGCGGCCAAGTAATCCTTCCTAATCGAAACGCATTTCAGAATTTTAGCCAACATTCCATGAGATCGGTCACTCACTGTAAATTATTTGTGCATTTGGTAGATGTAAATGGCACCTCTGACCCAATCAGCGACTTTGATGGGATTCGACTCCATGACGGGAAGGACAGGGTCCAAGAAAAACTAACACTTTATTCATTTGAGCTATGTGGTCTCACCGATAGCCATGCGTTTATCAACATTTGAGTTACATTGCAGTGTATGGAGTCCACCAAATCTGCTGCAGTAAACAGACTGCCCAAGCAGGTGAATACCAGGCCTAACTAATTTATTGGTGTTTTGGCATAGTTAAACGGTCAATTGCGGAAATTTCAACATAGCATGTAAACGGGCACCACTACTCCACTGTTGTATACAGCTTGGTCATAACATCCAACGATATTCAGAAGATAAAGATGCGATCGCTGGAACAAGAAATTTATTGGCCTGACGTTTCGGATTCTCTCTCGAATCCATCATCAGAGACATTTGCAGATAAAGGTGATGGTGGCACCAGGAGTGCAGTATTTATAGCACGTGGCTGCCGTGGACCGTATGCGCACTGCAATTAACAGTTCTCGCAATCACCGCTGGGGTCGTAATTGATGCGGCGGTGGTTTGTCGGTCCGAGTCCGACGCAAATACTGAACTTCAATGGCAACCACCCGATCAGTCACAAAAGCAGTTGCGTACGGGCGCTATATCGGCGCGTTGAGACGCACTGCAGTGAAATGGAGGACAAGGTTGCTGAATTACAATATCTTCGACGGGTAATGAGAGCCAATGGTTACCCGCGCAACTTTGTCAACCAGTGCATAGAAAAGGACACCAGAGACCAAATCCAACCGGCCCCAAATTTCGGCGGGCTCTTCCTTACGTGAAAAACGTCTCGGAAGCCGTCAGTCGTCTTCTCACTCCACTTGGAGTTGGGATCGCACACAGGCCGGAAGCAACCATTAGGCGCCAAGTCATGAGGCCAAAAGACCCGCTGCCACAGCAGGAAACGTCTGGAGTCGTTTACCGGATCTGGTGTAGTTGCGGACAAAGCAAATATGCCGGAAAAACTGGGAGGTTATTCCGCACGCGAATTGCCGAGCACGCAGCAGCGGTGAGGCAGGGAGACGCTAGCTCTCAGGTGGCGGCACACTCGACGGGACCCGGCCATATTTTCAAATTTCAAGAGGCCGAAATCCTCGCAAGGGGTGACAACCGCGTGAGCCGCGAGCTGCTCCAGTTATGGTTCTCAGGTCCGCAATCCGTCAACAAGCACAATGACCTCCCGGTACCATATTCCGTGCTGCGATTTTCCCTGGGCAAGACAATCAGTCACGTGGGGAGGGCGCGGGCGAGCAATTAATTACAGTGGCAGTGAGCCAGTTTGCCGAGCAATCGTCACACCAACATCCAGCACGGATGACGAAATCGCGGCAATTAACGACTCGGACTCGGACCGACGAGCCACCACCGCATCAATTACGACCCCAGCGGTGATTGCGAGAACTGTTAATTGCAGTGCGCATACGGTCCACGGCAGCCACGTGCTATAAATACTGCACTCCTGGTGCCACCATCACCTTTATCTGCAAATGTCTCTGATGATGGATTCGAGGGAGAATCCGAAACGTCAGGCCAATAAATTTCTTGTTCCAGCGATCGCATCTTCGTTTTCTGAACTGCTACCTGGAACTCGCCTGTTCGCTTCTATCAGCAATCTAACGATATGTCTAACTGTTTAATTGGAAGTTTGGTCCTGTCCATCTTTGAAATCTGCCTTACCATTAAAATAGCTAAGGCGTTAACCTCCAAACTGAACGAAAATCTTTCCTGAACACTTCCTGATTAGTAAAGAGCAAAACTATAGTTTGCATAACATGCGGCATCATCAGCATAACCTTCTATCATCTCTTTTGTTGATCATGTTTTCCCTAAAGGAGTGACCTTAATGTTCACCATCAAACTGGAGATATCGATTCTAATTCACTCAAGGCGCTTCGAGTACGATGCGTTATTTCCTTTCGATTAGACTTCACGGTGAGCAGTATCTCCTGGTTCCAGCGATATCCTAATTCGCGGGCTGGCAGAAAGTAGAAAGGTGTACTTTTATCAGGAGATAAATGACAGTAACAACGAAAAATTATTCCTACCAGCGCGATAACACAATTGGATTTGGGAGTCATGCTTTTTCCAAAATTATGGAAAACAGGCATAAAATGTTCATTCTTTCGCTAATTCGATAGAAAATTACGTCTTCTTTCAACTTTACACTCGAAGAGGGGCACATAATTAGGTTTCTAAA